AATGAAGAAAGAGAGAGAGGGAGAAAAAGAAAGGAAGGAAGAAAGAAGAAAAGAAAGAGATAAAGAGAAAAATGGTAACTGTGAGGTGATAGACATGTTAGGTTACAATTAAAAATGGAATAAAATAGCTTAAAAATTCTGTGATGCATCAGCTACACACACACACACACACACATTTAGGTTGTTCTATCTCTATCCATCCATCTATCTGTCTATCCATCCATCCATCTATCTATCCACCCATCCATCTATCATCTATCCTTCTATATAGCCAGCCACCTTCTTAAGTGGTCTTCTTGCTTCTGGACGTCATTTCCTCTGCATATTGCTGCCAGAAAGATCTTCTAATTCATAGTTATAAATCATGCCATGGTAGATCTTAAAACATTTCATAATTTCCCATTGTTTTCAAAATAAAATCGAAACTACTCAGCCTTCAAGGTCTTAGGTGAGCTAATATCAATGCGCATTCCCAATTTATCTCACACTGTTTCTGCTCTTGTTATCCCAGGCACTAAGAAAATCAGACTGCTTACTACTCCCCAAATAAACTCCATTCTTAGAGACCAGCATGACTTTGCTTAGAGTCACTTTTATTTGAAATATAACCCTCAGGTACAATCCATGCATGCTAAAATCCTACTGCATTTGCCAGTCCAGTTCCAAAACTGCTTGTTCTGAGAGTGTTTCCTGAGCCTCTGAAACTGTTCTCTACACCTATACTCTTCTTGTTTCTATTATAGCATTCTTTTTCTTACAATAATTTGAATACTAGCTTTAGCTCTGTTCCTGGTCCCTAGCAAGAATAGAGCTTGCTATTCCTGGCATCCTCCACACCTAACACAATGACTTGCACATAGAAGACATCCCATATATATGTCTTGAAATAATTACCCTGAACAAGTTAGTTTCTCAAATAAAATGATAGTTCCATTGGGTTCTGATATGGTTAGGCTTTGCGTCCCCACCCAAATCTCAACCTGAATTATAATCCCCAGGTGTTGAGGGAAAAACCTTGCCCGCCACCATGCCCGGATAATTTTTGTATTTTTAGAAGGGACAGGGTTTCACTATGTTGGTCAGGTCAAAACTCCTGACATCCTGATCCACCCGCCTCGACCTCCCAGAGTGTGCTGGGATTACAGGCGTGAGCTACCACACCTGGCCTTAATTTCCTTTTTAGATTATACAAGATTGGCAAAATGTTGATATTTATTAAATCTGGATGATGAAAACATGAGGCTTCATTATACCATTTTCCCTATTTCATGTATATGTGAACATTTTCATAATAAAAAGCTTTTATAACTACCTAAGTGTTCTGTGAGTTACCAGGAGTGAAAGGAAAAACAGAAAAATGACTTAAGGCCAAGTATAGTAGTTTACACCTGTAAACCCAATACTTTGGGGGCTGAGGTGGGGGGATCACTTGAGCCCAGGAATTCAGCCTGGGAAACATAGCGAGACCCCTGTCTGTACAAATAATCAAAAAATTAGTCGGGCATAGTGGCACCTGCCTGTGGTCCCAACTACACAAGAGGCTCAGACGGGAGGATCACTTGAGCCTGGGAGGTCAAGTCTGCAGTGAGCCTTAATTGCACCATTGCACTCCAGCCTGGGTGACAGGATGTGACCCTATCTCAAAAACAAACAAACACATAAACCTACCTAAAACCATAACACGGCATCTGACATATAGTAAGGGATCATTGAGCCATCATCATCATCACTGTCACTGCCATCATCATCATCAAACGAGACAGTTTTGGGGCTTTGTGTCTCCTCCATCCTCAACTTCTTCTCCAGACATGTCATCCTATTATTGTTGAAACATATTTAAGTCTCCCTCCGTCCTTCTCTTTCACTTCTCAACTCAGCCATTTTTGACTCTCTGGATGTGTTGCCTCTGATCAATCTCTCTTTGGCTTCTGGGCCAACATCACTCCTGGCTTTCCTACAACCTCTCTGGCCCCACTCTTTTTTTTTTTTTCTTTCTTTTTTTTTTGAGATGAAGTCTCTCTCTGTCACCCAGGCCGGAGTGCAATGGCATGATCTCAGCTCACTGCAACCTCTGCCTTCTGGGTTCAAGTGATTCTCCTGCCTCAGACTCCCCAGTACCCGGGATTACAGGCACGTGTCACCACACCTAGCTAATTTTTGTATTTTTGGTAGAGATGGGGTTTTACCATGTTGGCCAGGCTGGTCTCAAACTCTGACGTCATGATCTGCCCACCTCAGCCTTCCAGAGTGCCAGGATTACAGGCCTGAGCCACCGCGCCTGGCCCTCCTTCTGTCTTTCTTGTGAACAGTTTTCACTGCCTGTTCCATATACTTTGGTGCTTCCCAGGTTCTATCTCAGGTCTGTTTCTCTCTCAGTCTATGCACTGTCACTGGATGATCTCTTCCAGACAGTCCATGTTTTGTTACCATCCTAATACTGCTGCCTCCAAAATTCACAATCCCAATCTCACTTTCTTTCATAAATTTCAGCCACATATCTCCAGCCACTGGCTGGACACTTAAAACTCAACAACAGGGCCGGGTGCGGTGGCTCATGCCTGTAATTCCAGGACTTTGGGAGGCTGAGGCGGGTGGATCACGAGGTCAAGAGATCGAGACCATCCTGGTCAACATGGTGAAACCCCGTCTCTACTAAAAATACAAAAAATTAGCTGGGCATGGTGGCGCGTGCCTGTAATCCCAGCTACTCAGGAGGCTGAGGCAGGAGAATTGCCTGAACCCAGGAGGTGGAGGTTGCGGTGAGCCGAGATCGTGCCATTGCACTCCAGCCTGAGTAACAAGAGCGAAACTCCGTCTCAAAAAAACCAAAACAAAACAAAACGAAAACTCAACAACATTCACAAAACTAAAATCTATAAACTGGTTCTGACAGTTCCCGTCTTGACGGAGAGTACCACCGCCTGCCTACCTTCCAGCCAATGTCCAACGCAAAAGCCTGGATCATCCTCTCTTCCTCCCTCTACTTCGTCACCCAGATCCAGTCTCCATGTCCACTGTGGCTTGAATGTTTATGCATCCTCCAAACTTTACATACTGAAACTTAATTGCCAGTGCGAACTGCGAGGGAGCCATTGCTTCCTAAATCCTTCCCTGGAGGGTCTCCTTCCTCTAGGACTCTCTTGCCTCTGTGTCCCTTCACTAGCAATTGGTCTTGGGTCCTGACAAAGGGATCAGGGCTTGAGTCCGCCTCGGCCTCCCAAAGTGCTGGGATGACAGATGTGAGCCACCGCGCCTGACCTAAAACAATTTTTTTTTTTGATACAGAATGCTTCATGAATTTGCTTGTCATCCTTGGACAGAGGCCATGCCATTCTTCTCTGCATTGTCCCAATTTTAGTATATGGGCTGCCAAAGCGAGCACTATCGCCACTTATTTTAAATATTCAGATCTACTGTTCTGAATCTTGGGGGTCAATGTATTTTGATTCAGACTTTTCCAGATTTTACAAAGGTGCATAATTACAGAACATCCTTAGTGTGCTTGAGGTAGCAACTCACAACAGTCAAATTCATTAATATTTCTGCAGAGTAGTCACTTTAACTGAGATAACTAAAGAATACCAATAGCACCACATCAGTTTGGATCAGGTGGTACAGCCAAACAAATTTGCTACAAACTTGGAAGACAAACACAAAAACAAAACAGCCTTGTGGTTCCATGGATTTCTTCCTGGGGGAACTACAGGTGAGAGACGTGGACCTGTTTATATAGAAGCATCTGGAAAGCCTGACTCATTGTGTTGTTACCGTGCTGTTGCTCATTGAAGAGACTGCAGCTTATTTTTATTTTTGCCTTTTGACTTTGCTGTTTTAATTTTTCTGCACCAAGTATTAATTACTCTTTTGCCTATAGTTTCTTTAATTTCAATCGATTCAGATAAATGTAACATAAATTTAACACAGGGAGAATATTGCGTTGTTTAGTGGACCTCAGAAAGACCATAATACGCATTGGGTTCACAATTTTCATGTGTGCCTTTAAAAAGTGTATTTTTCTGGGGAAGCAGGGAAAATAAAGGAGATGGAGCTGGTTTTTCTATTCTTTTTCTTCTGTCTTTAAGCTGGTGCCACCAACGCAGTCCATATCCAGCTAGCTCATTTCTTGACTGAGGCTTCCCCTACCTCCTCTTTCTTACTTTTTCTTTTTCTTTTCTTCTTTTTTTTTTTTTTTTTTTTGAGACGAAGTCTGGCTCTGTCACCCAGGCTGGAGTGCAGTGGTGTGATCTTGGCTGACTGCAGCCTCCACCTTCCAGGTTTAAGTGATTCTCCCACCTTAGCCTCCCAAGTATCTGGGACTACAGGCACACACCGCCATGCCTAGCTACTTTTTGTATTTTTAGTAGAGATGGAGTTTCACCATATTGGCCAGGCTGGTCTTGAACTCCTGACCTCCTGAACCACCCGCCTCAGCCTCCCAAAGTGCAGGGATTACAGGCATGAGCCACCGTGCCTGGCCCCTCCTCTTTCATTATAAATGTATGTTAGCTTTGCATTAAAAAGTAAAACAAGGCCAGGCATGGTGCATCTACCTGTAATCCCAGCATTTTGGGGGCCAAGGTAGGAGGATTTCTTGAGGCCAGGAGTTCAAGGCCAACCTGGGCAACATAGCAAGACCCCATCTCTACAAAAAATGAACCAAGTTAGCTTGGCATGGTGGTGTACGCCTGTAGTCCCAGCTACTCATTAGGCTGAGGCAAGAAGATAGCTTGAGCCCAAGATTTTGAGGTTGCAGTGAACAGTGACTGCACCACTGCACTCCAGCCTGGGTGACAGAGCAAGACCCTGCTTCTCTAAAAAAAAAAAAAAAAGGTCAGGTGCAGTAACTCATGCCTGTAATCCCAGCACTTTGGGAGGCTGACATGGGCAGATCACCTGAGTTCAGGAGTTTGAGACCAGCCTGGCCAACCTGATGACCCCATCTCTACTAAAAATACAAAAGTTAGCTGGGTATGGAGGCACACATCTGTAATCTCAGCTACTCAGGAGGCTGAGGCAGGAGAATTGCTTGAATCCAGGAGGCAGAGGTTTCAGTGAGCCAAGATGGCACCACTGCACTCCAGCCTGGGTGACAGAGCCAGACTCTGTCTCTAAATAAATAAACAATTAATCAAAAAAAAATAAAACTAAAACCACAATAAACTGAAAAATAAATAGAATGTGGGGACAAGCGAGGGAAGTGTATGTGGACAGGGGAAATGGGGAAAGAAGAACCCCACAGGGGCACAGAGCGGGTTTAGGGGAGGTTTTTAGGGAGCAAGCTGCGTCAGGAGCCAGGAAGGAGATGTTACTGGGCAGAGCTACAGTCGATGAGGTGGGGAGAGGTAGGCATTTGGGGTGACTTTGCAGCTCAGGCCGCCTAGGGCCCAGCTGGGGAAGGGGAAATGTGGGAACACCTGTGGGCCGCCCTGCTGAGGTCTCCAAGCCTGTACCAGGAGCCCTTTCCTCTACAGCTTCTTGGGAGCTTGAACAATTTGAGGGAAGTTACATATCCAGGAGGAAATTGCAGTGCATGCATGTGAAGTCTTCTAGTCAACTGTCCATGTGGTTGAGAATTCCTTATGATGACAAAAAACAAGCACTACTAAAAGGGACCTATGTCTATATCTATATCCTCTATGTCTATCTATATATTTATCTGAAATCATGAGCCTTGCCAGACTCAGATTGGCTGATGATTGAGGGGCTTCTGCCAGAGGGCTTGTTAGCCTGGGAAAGGGAAGTGTGCCTAAGCCAATGGAGGTCACAGAAGAGGGATGGGAGAGGCTGGCGGAAAGTCTAAATAGAAAAGAAGCTTTGCCGGGCGCGGTGGCTCAAGCCTGTAATCCCAGCACTTTGGGAGGCCGAGGCGGGTGGATCACGAGGTCAAGAGATCGAGACCATCCTGGTCAACATGGTGAAACCCCGTCTCTACTAAAACTACAAAAAATTAGCTGGGCATGGTGGCGCGTGTCTGTAGTCCCAGCTACTCAGGAGGCTGAGGCAGGAGAATTGCCTGAACCCAGGAGGCGGAGGTTGCGGTGAGCCGAGATTGCGCCATTGCACTCCAGCCTGGGTAACAAGAGCGAAACTCCGTCTCAAAAAAAAAAAAAAAAAGAAGATTTGGATGAGGTAAGTCCTGTGTGGACTTTAAGTACATTGGAAGGTAGAAAATGCCAGATGAGGGAGACATCATGTACTCACAAAACAAAATAAAAATTAGCCGGGCGCAGGGTCACACGCTTGTAGTCCCAGCTACCCAGGAGGCTGAGGCATGAGAATCACTTGAACCTGGGAGGTGGAGGTTGCAGTGAGCCAAGATTGCACCACTGCCCTCCAGCCTGGGTGACAGAGCAAGACTGTCTACAAATAAATAAATAAAATAAAAATTTTAAGAATTAAAAAAACATAAGTGATGATAAAACAGTGATGCTGTACAGATGTACATGTTCCAGGTACTGTCAAGCACTTTGCGTATATTAATCAAATGCTCATAACAACTCTGTAGGGTAAGCACTACTATCTTCATCTGCATTTTACATATGAGGAACAGGACTACATTGTACCTACTGTTCCACGCTTGCTTTCTGCTCTTAATATGTCTTGAACATCTTTCAATTGAGCGAATATTTATCTACAGCATCGTGGCTACATCATGTCCTATTGTGTGGCTGTGCTATCACTTCACCCGTCCTCTGGTACTGGACACTTAGGTTGCTTCCATGCCCTTTGTTTTTGGTGCATTTCTCTGTGAGACCCTTCAGTAGAGGCCTGTGAGTCATCCCTCTCAAACCTTTCACCACGAGAGGATAGCACACCCCAGTGGCTACTGGCTCCTTAAAAGGAAGCTATGTCTTCCTACCTCTCGACCATTTCCCTTTTAATGTATTTTTTATTTTTTCTTATTCTAACAGAAATGTGCTCCGGCTGAGCGTGGTGGCTCACGCCTGTAATCCAAGCACTTTGGGAAGCCAAGTCGGGTGGATCACCTGAGGTCAGGAGTTCGAGATCAGCTGGCCAACCTGGTGAAATCCTGTGTCTACTAAATAAAATACAAAAATTAGCTGGGCGTGGTGACAGGCACCTGTAATCCCAGCTACTCAGAAGGCTGAGGCAGGAAAATTACTTGAACCTGGAAAGTGAAGTTTGCAGTGAGCCAAGATCGTGCCATTGCACTCTAGCCTGGGTGACAGAGTGAGGCTCCATCTCAAAAAAAAAGAAAGAAAGAAAAAAGGAAAAGAAATGTGCTCATTCTCTGTATATCTCTGTCTAATTTCCTAGCATTTGAGAGATCCATTTTGCCACTGTTGGGGCAGGATCTGAGCTGGGCCGCATCCCTCCCTTTGTGCAACACGGCCTCTTTGGTTTCCTGCCCTTAAGTCCTGTCAGTTCTACTGACCTACTTCCCCGTCTGTGTGACTCGGTTTTAGAAGGTGAGTATGTCATTTGCGTGAGGTCTGCAGCCTTATTGTCTGATGTTACTTGTTTAACTGAATGGGTCTTCTTTTGATGTCTTTTAATCTTGAGTCTTTTCCCAGAGTTGCCACTAAAATTGTCCCATACCACCTGTATTAGTTCCCTGTGGCTGCTGTGACACATTACCACAAATTTTGTGGCTTAAAACTACATAATTTTTTTTTTTTTTTGAGACAAGGCTTCACTCTGTCACCCAGGCTGGAGTGCAGTGGCACAGTCTTGGCTCACTGTAACTTCTGCCTCCAGACTTAAAGTGATCCCCACCTCAGCCTCCCGAGTAGCTGGGACTACAGGTACATGCCACCACACCTGGCTAATTTTGGGAGGATATTTTTTATAGATATAGGGTTTTGCCATGTTGCCTAGGCTGGTCTCAAACTCCTGAGCTCAAGAGATCCACCCGCCTCAGCCACCCAAAGTACTGGGATTATAGACATGAGCCACCAGGTGTGGTCCAGATATTTATTCTTTCACAATTTAGGAGGCCAAAAATCTGGAATCAACATGTCAGCAAGGCAGCACTCCCTCTGAAGTCATGGAGGAGGATCCTTCATTGCTTCTTTCTGCTTCTGGAGGGTTCCAGGAGTTCCTCAGCTTATGGCTGTATAACTCAGATCTCTGCCTCTGTCCTCACATGACCTTCTGTTTTCCCAGGTATCTCTTCTCTGTCTCTTATAAGGACACTTGTCATTGGATTTAGGGTCCATTCAGATAATTCAGGATGGGCTGGGTGTGGTAGCTCATGCCTATAATCCCAGCACTTTGGGAGGCCAAGGCAGGTGGTTCATGAGGTCAGAAGTTCAAGACTAGCCTGACCAACATGGTGAAACCCTGTCTCTACTAAAAAAAAATAATAATAATACAAAAATTAGCCAAGCATGGTGGCACATGCCTGTAATCCCAGCTACT